CTTTTGCATGCCCCTAGCATGTTTTGAGTACTTTCTTTCTGGGCCAACAAAATATACCAGGCTCGTCTTGTACTTTCCTAACCCAGCCCTGGAGTCATCCATTTTTCCAGGATCCCTCGTTCCTTTGGTGGGAAATGATATTTAGAAACTAAGTCTGCGCATTGTATGTGTTCATTGCTGCTGGGGTGTCATGCTTCTGGGTCCTCTGAGCTGAGAGACCCAAGAAATGTTATGTATGTGTATATCTACATATCTATCTACTTTTATACCTATTTATATATTAAAACCTGTGAGTCTATGCCAGTAACTCCAGTTCTAACCTAACCTCAGGGTTTACTGGAGTGGCCCCTGTCCCATGTCTGTAACTACCTTCTACGGCAGTGAGAAGCTTGCTTCCCAGTATCCTCCGTGTATTTACCTGCTCTGTTTACCTGTGTGGAACCCGTCTCCCAGCTGTGCTCAAGCCAGAGCTTGACTCCCTGCTGGCCACACCAGAGCCAATTCCTCTGCCCCAACCACTGGGAAGGGGTAGGGGTGCATATTAGTCGGCGCATCCTTGGATGAACAAGTTCTCTAACTCCCTGGGGGTCTTAAGCCGCTTTGCCCGTACTCACCTCCTTGCCCACTTTTTCTGACTACCATCTTCCTCCCCCAGAGCCATCACTCCTGTACTCTCCAGTTAGAATACTGTTGCTGGGAATGTCAGCTGCAGACCCACCAGAAGAAATGGCCTTGGTCATCCATACCTAAGCTTGGTGTGCAGTGTGGTTTTCCTTCTCGCCGTGTTTTAATCTTCCCCTCTGCTGCCACCGCTCTGCAGTAGTCTTTACTCCTAGGTCGTTTTACGTATCAGTGGAACTCCCAGCAGTATTTCACATGGCGCCCCCAGAATGCTTATACAGTTCTTGGGTTAAAAGCTCAGGCTACAGGGAAGAGGATAAAAGACACCATCTGCATCCATGACGTGTTTCCTTAAGCTGCAGAGAAAGTGAATCACACCAATAATCGTAATACCATGTATCTGTAGAGCGCTTTAGAGTTTTGAAATCAAAGCATCGCATAGTGGTTAGAGCTTGGCTTTGGAGTCAGACAGGCCCCAGTTCGAATTCCAGCTCTGATAAATTCTGTGGCCTAGGGCAAGTCATCTTATTTTTCTCAGCCTCAGTTTCTTCATTTATAAAACAGGGATACTAATGCCTTCCGCTCAGGACTGTTGTGAGGATTAAGTGAGATTGTATTTATAATGTAGCCAGTGCGGTGCCTAGTTTATAGGCATATAGCCTAGTGTGAGAGAGAGACCAAAAAAAGTTTTTGGAACACAGCATGGAGGGGTAAAGGTATGAACAGTTTGCTGTGGGAATTCAGAGGTGTGTATGAACCTAACTGCAGGTCAGACTTTTCTCAGTCTGTGTCTTCTGCCTCAGCCAACTCCTCTCCTTCTTCCCGTCCTCTCCCCCCCACACCGTATTCTGTACTTACTTCTGACTCCAGGCCTTTATTCTCTTGCCTGAATCTGCTGTGGAATTTTCTCTCCAGTTTCCTCTGTTATTTCCTTTGTCTAAAACAAATTGGTCATATTGTCCGTACTGCAAAACTAGCATTTTGTTGCCATCTTGAGATCTAAAGATCATAATCATGAAGGTCCTATCTCCCCCAATAGGTCACAGCCTCTAATGGACAGATGCTGTGTCTTTACCTGCCACAGCACTGTGATCAGGACTTGACCCTTTTTAAACTTTTACTTGATTGTAATTGCTTTAGAGTATAAAAGGCACATCCCTGTGATTCCATTCAACAAGTCAGCATGCCCCGTGTTCCTTTCTCCAGTAGTCCTTCCTATAAGATCCTGCCGAAACTCAGGGTAGTGTTTGGTGCCTGGAAGAAATGGCAACCTTTGCTTTTTTTGTTGTTGGTCTCATTTAAATCTTATACTTGCTGCCCGCAGCGCCTTGTGCACACGAAGTGCTCCATCCATATTTGATTGGATTGCATCCCCTTTGCAAACTCATGAACTTTACCCGTTCCCATCCGGGTGACTTGTCCTCGTCTCTTCTGTGAAGGCGTTTGATTACTCGTCGTCTAGTGTCTCGTGTGGCATAGAAGCAGGCTGATGAATAGCGCAAGATGGAAGGGGGGGGGCCACTCTGGTCTATTTCTCGTTCACACCAGAGAACAATGTCAACAGCAACCCAAGAGACATTCTGCAAAATATGGAAGATCTTTAGTGTTTGTTTTTTTTTTAAAGAGGAAATTTTGTCTCTGTTCTATGATCACAATTAATTTACAGTCTTACTCATCAGCTTGGCTCCGAAATAGGAGGTAGGTGAGGAAGTATCCTGGCTTCAGCTTCCAGCGGCATTAGAGGAGTGGTTCAGGTGAAAATGCCTTGGAGCTCTCGTCCCTGTTTTGGTTGGCACTGTGGATTCGGAGGTTAGAGTCTCTCATAGGAAGACTCGAGAGGAACCCTCCCCTGCTGTTCCGTGCTCTCCTCCAGTGCACCAGCCCCGACCCTTCCACTCCCATCCCTTAGGAACAAAACGTGGAGGTTGATCCGCCGAGTACGTATTGGGCACCAACGTAACTGGGAGCCTAGCTGCACACAGAAGCTTGAGGGCTGGGCCTCGGGGGAGCAGAAGTAACGTAGACATTATCCCTGCTCTCAAGAATCTCACGATAGCATACGTGACACAGAGAAGAAGATTCTACCACTATAAAGCAAGCAGCTTTCACCTTCTCTGCCAACTTCAGCTCATAAGAAGTGACTGGCTACAGTGCTGTCTCAGGAAGGCTTCTGAAATTACCCTGGAGATCAGTGAGAAAGACATAGCCATTCCTGATGAGCATGGCCTACCACGGGCCCAGGATGGGAGAAGGTCAGCATGTTTCCTGAATAGTTGACACCCTCACACTGTATAGTGAAGTGTTAAAAAAAAAAAATAGTCGTCAGTGTGTTACAGATGACAGAAGTTGCAATTGAGATAGAGGACGGGTGTGAGTAGGAGTTATCTAGGTGCCTCCTGAGCTGAGCTGGGAGGGTGAGTGGACAGGTGGTGATGGGAGAGTCACCAGGGGACGCATCCAGGCAGATGCACAGCGTCAGGGATAGAGATGGAGCGGAGCGGCAGCTGAGGGGAGCCTGGCTGGAGCATGGGGTCGCTGTGGAGGAGATGTGGGAAATTAAATGGAAAGGTGAGACAAGAGGAGGGTGTGAGGAAGGAGGGTGGACACGGTGGAGCTTTCCAAGGTCAACTAACTCGCTCCTTCTCTGCTTGCTAACCGTCACCACCATCACAATGGACTGTCCTAGGCCTTAAGTTCTTTGAGGGCACAGTGGCTATATCTGGATGTAATAAACTTTCAATAAGAAAAGCTCTTGAGTAAAATGTCAATTTTCTCCTGTTCCTACTCATTAATACTGCATGTGGTTCTTGTCTTTTTTTTCTTGACTGCTATATAAATACAAAAAAAAAAACAAAAAACACAGCTGAATTCCTGTAGCCTTAGACAGCAACTAAAAAGATGCAAAATGTTAAGAGGGGTGGGAACACCCTCCTCTCCCCCATTTTTCATAGAGTACAACTGTGCAGGGACCCATTAATATAGCCCTGCTGGATGTGAACAGTGATGACTCAGTGTGACTGAGGCAAATTCAGTGACGTTTGAATGGGAAATGGGAGAAAGTTGCAACCATCATCACCACCGTGACCTGGGGCAAGCCTGGAGCGGCTCAGTATTTTCTCTCCTCCCAACATTTCTTACACCTTTGATTTTGGAAGTTGTTCAGAAGAAACTGCATTAAAGGAGAAAGAAAGCATTAGACTGTTTCTTTACAGTTTCTCTTTGTTTAGTTGTCTGTCTGCTGGGTACCTTTAGGTTAATGATATCTAAATATTTGCTGACATCATAACCTTTTTGTGTTTGAGGAGGTAGTAGGGTAGAGTGGGTAAAAGCATGAGGTTTAGAGCCAGGCTGCTTGGGTTTTAATCCTGGCTCCTCCACTCTCTGGCCGTATGACTTTGGACAAGGTCCTTTAATTTTCTGCACCTCGCTTTTTGAAAAGGAGGATAGTTTTAGTCCCTACGTCATAAGGTTATTGTGAAGATTAAGTGAAGTTCACGTATAAAGACTCTTACAAAGAGCTGACGTGGTGCCTGGTACACCATAAGTGTTCAGAAAATGAACACTGTCATTATTTAGGGTTTTCATTTGTGGAAAGGGGAGCAGGTACTGTTAAGGTAGTAGGACCAGCGCACACACTTAAGCGGTAGATTCTAGGCTCAGCTCTGCCACTAAATCGTGTGACAAACTTTCTGGGCCTTATTTTTTTCATCTCTTAGAGGGTCCAATAACACCTTATCTTTCTCCCAGGGGTTTGGGGTCAAATGCGGTCATGAAGTGCCTTGAAAAGTACAAAACAGCACACAAATGCCAAATTTTATCACTGCTGTTGTAGGAGTGGTGGTGGTAGTTAATGATGATATTGATAAAAATGGATCCAGGTTCTAAAAATGTTTTAAGTTAATTACTTTTTATTGAGGTACAGTTGATTTACAGTCTTGTATTAGTTCCCGGTATATAGCAAAGCGATTCAGTTATTTTTTTCAGATTATTTTCCATTATAGGTTATTACAAGATATTGAACATTGTTCCCCACGTTACACAGCAAATCCTTGTTGCTTATCTGTTTCATATATGGTAGTGTGTATCTGTTAATCCCATACTCCTAATTTATCCCGCCCCCCTTTTACCCCTTTGGTAACCATACATTTGTTTTCTATTTTTGCGAGTCTTTCTGTTTTGTAAATAGATCCATTTGTATTGTTTTCTAGATTCCACATATAAGTGATATCATCTAATATTTGTCTTTCTCTGTCTGACTTACTGAAACGGGTCCAATTTTAAATGTAAAAAGCATGAGGAGTGATCGCCTCGCGGCAGTCAAGCACGTTTGTTTTCTCTTTCTTGAAATAAAATAACGTTTCATGTTTTCTTCCTCCCAGAAACCTTGGGGAGCTGATAGATCGGTTTGTGGCTGATTTCAAAGCCCAGGGGCCACCTAAGCCCAACACGGACGAGGGGGGCGCCGTGCTCCCCAGCTGTGCCGACCTCTTTGTCTACTACAAGAAGTGCATGGTGCAGTGCTCGCAGCTCAGTACCGGGGAGCCGATGATCGCCCTGACCACTATTTTCCAGAAGTACCTCCGAGAGTACGCCTGGAAAATCCTCTCTGGCAACCTGCCCAAGTGAGTCCTGTTCTTCCTGGTCTGACCAGAGAAGTGAGATTCTGAATATACCTAAGTATGGAAATCTTTAAGGAAATCCACCCTGAAGCTGTTCGCTAAACTGCCAAGAGTATCAGGGAGGAAAACACCCTTATGGAGTTCCCAAGGGTCTGAAACTATTTCCTCTCAAATGGGATTCCACAGCTGATCAGGACTGCCAGAGGAAATCAGTACTGCCACGCTGGCCACTAGCATAGGTCAGATCCTGCCACGGTGGACTCAGGGGAGTCAGTCCCATTATAGATGTGCTTAGTTTACATGGATTCAGTGATAGGTACTTGGCAAAAGAAGTGGGGTGGTGGTAGCAATGACTTTTGAACAGCAAGGGCAGTTTCATTCAGGCCAAAGTCTCTCATGGTGTGTGTATCTTGCTCTCCTGGGTTGAGTCTAATGTTTAAAGATGTGGTAGGATTTGGGGAAAGGTGGTTGCATAGCATAGCTCCTAATTATAGCGACTTCACTGTTATTCTGGGGCATTAAAATATTGTTATATAGCTTATTACTTGAAATAAATGGATTGTTCGACTAGAGTTTTAGAGATATTTTGGTTATATAGCAATTTCTATTGTAATAGAATATGATCTGAAGCAATGCTTCAGAATCCAGTAATTATAAATCACTCCCATAGCTAAATTCAACAGTTTGGAATTTAGTTTCTGTCACTGTCACTAAAATGTGTCATATATAGGAGTTTTACATAATTGGGAGGAAAGAAAAATAAAATCCCTTCGCTGTACAAGAGATTTGAAGTAACAGACATGTTTTACACATGAGAATTTCTTTGAATATGATAAACATTATTTTTAAATTTTTGATAACTTTTATCCTGATTTTCAAAATACTGCAAGTTTGTTATAGTTTGTAAAACACAGAAAAGCACAAAGATGAAGATAAAAATCACCACCCAGTGAAAACAGGTTTAACTTTTCAGTATACATTTTTCTGTTCTTTCTTTATATGTGTAATGTGTGTGACTGAATGCTTCTGTTTATTTGTTTAACAGGACTGGACTATAGTGCTTATAGTTTTATACCCTGCTTTGTCATGATGTGAGCATTTTGCCATGTGTATTAGTCAGTGTCACAGCAGGAAACAAATGGTACTCAGCTGGGATGTTATTACTAAAGCCACTGTTTACAGAAATGGGGGCAGGTGAAAGGAACCAAGGGAGGAGTCTGAAGCATCCAAACTCTAGTGGGTAATTGTTACTACTTTAAAACTCACGTGACAGCTAGAGCTGTGGACGAAGGGCTGCCTAACAGAAACTTTAGTCTTAGGGGCCACGGTCACTGCCAGGACCACACTGAAGCAGAGGGAGCAGGAAGGCTAGTTGTTACTCCGACTTCTCTCTCCTCCACCTCTCTGACTTCCTACAGCCTCTGCTGATGGCTGAAACCAACAGGAGCCCAGGGGGCTGGGGAGCCTGGGTGAAAAGTCTGCAGAGGTCAGTCTCCCAAGCGGTGAAAAGGGAAGAGAAGAGCAGAGAACAGTCAGCACAGTAAAAATACTCAAGACACTTTTTTTTTTCCAGATTTTTTTTTTTATGTATGTATGGCTGCATTGGGTCTTTGTTGCTGTGTGCGGGCTTTTCTCTAGTTGCGGCAAGCGGGGGCTGCTCTTCATTGTGGTGCGCGGGCTTCTCATTGCGGTGGCTTCTCTTGTTGCGAAGCACGGGCTCTAGGCGCATGGGCTTCAGTAGTTGTGGCTTAGCGGCTCTAGAGCACAGGCTCAGTAGTTGTGGCGCACGGGCTTAGTTGCTCCGCGGCATGTGGGGTCTTCCCGGATCAGGGCTCGAACCTGTGTATCCTGCATTGGCAGGCGGGTTCTTAACCACTGCGCCACCAGGGAAGCCCCATCAAGACACTTTTAATGATGCTGTGATGTTCCCACATACTGAAGGCCCTCAGCTAACTTCTGAGATTTCTTATTGATCATTCTCTTAATTGACCATTTATGTTGGGTTCAGTATTTTAAATAACATTCAGAAGAGCATCCTTGAACAGAAGTAGAACTACTGGGTCAAAGAGCCTGAACGTCTTTTTAAGCTCCTGAAAAATACCTACAAAAAAGTTGTACAATTTAAAGCTCCTAACCCGTAGTGGAAGAGACAGCCAGTGTCCTCACACCCTTATAAGTACTAGAAATTAAGATGTTTTCAAATCTTTGATTACCTAAGTCTGGGAAGTTTAGGGGTGTGTGTGTGTGTGTGTGTGTGTGTGTGTGTGTGTGTGTTTTAAAGGAAAAATTTCTCTTATTTTTAAGGTAAATATCATTGATTTCTGTCTTCTTAAAAAATAGACTCTCACAGTTGAAATTTTATTTATAACTGCAGGAAGTTATTTAAAAACCGCTTTTTTATTTTTTGTGATCACATGATTAGATCAGTAGGAAGAGATGACGTGCTTTTTTGTTTCTTGAGGCAGCCAGGCCTTTGGCCAGGAACCATGTCTTAACATTCACTTCTGAACCCCTCCACAAGCACGAAGACAAGCTCCCATGCAGAATTTTCTTAACTGAGAGAAACAGTTGGGGAGCCAGCTTTTGCAGCACACATGACTCTGAATGAGCTGTACAGATCGGGAAATGCCACGCTAAGCAGAGAGGCTGCTCAGCAGAGCAGAGTCATTGTAGTTACCATGACTGATGGCTGGCTCACTGTTGGGATCGTCTCTTCCTATTTCTGATGGTCAGAGAATTTAAACAAATGACAGTCAAGGTCAGGTCACTTGGAAAGGGCCTCATTTTGTGTGGATTTGTTTGGGCCACGTCCAGCCTCTCCTTCCCCTGTTTCTTTGTCTTACAACGTGCAGTTTCCGGGTCAGGAAGCAAATGAGGAGTCCTGGCCTGACTGGTCCCTATGCCTTTTCCTCAGAACCACAAGCAGCGGCGGTGGGTTGACCATCAGCAGCCTCCTCAAGGAAAAGGAGGGCTCAGAAGTGGCCAAGTTCACCCTGGAGGAGCTCTGCCTCATATGCAGCATCCTGAGCACTGCAGAGTACTGCTTGGCCACCACCCAGCAGGTGAGCCGCCCGGGCTGCCCTTGCGCCACCTCCTCCTTTTCCTGAGCCGCCTGGGCCACTTAGCTCAGTAGGTAAGAATATGGGCCCCAATGAGGCCACACACAACCTTGGGCAGAACAGCTGGTCTCCCACAAGGGAAAACTCGAGGTCCAGCCAGGGGACGGCCCAGGCAGCCCCCTTGCAGAAGGACCTTGTTAAAAGGAGACTGGGCAAGAAAGTATGACTGGTCTCCTCCCCAGAGCTGTGTAAGCTACTCAAAGAGCATGACGTGCCCTCCTGAAAATAGGTCAGTAGCCCTGTCTCCCACGTGCTAAAAGCAGTTACAGTCGTAGTGGTGGTAGGCCCCAGCCTTAGTGGTCACTAGTCACAACCAGTGATTCCATTCTCAGGAGTGTTACCAGGCTCATTGAAAATCCTTTGGGCTTTTACGTGTCTCCTGAAATGTATGGAGCATATTCTCAATCTGCAGAAACAAATAACCATTGTCTGGATGCTGACGTTCAGGAACTGGGAAGCAGGAAAGGGTAATGTCTCTGCTGGAGCTCCCATTAGCAGAAGGAAGACCAGAAGAATTTTCCATTCAGCCTTAGATGTGGGATTAGAAGTTCCTTTCCACATTTCCAACCCTGCCAACCCTTCCCTTTGGACTTCTGTGAGAGAATACATTTCCATTTTAAGCCACCAAGTTTGTAGTAATTTGCTACGGCAGCATTAGAAAACTAATTATAGGAGTCAGCCTGAATGAACTCTACTGGTCAAAGATGAGACATACAAGTATCAGTGAGAATATTATCTACAGTCGATTGTAAACATCAAATATGTTTAAATCCATTTGGTTATAATGATTTTTAAAATTCACTTATCACCTTGGAAGATACTAAGAAACCACTGGTATGAATTGAATACTGGTAAATAAAGGAAAAGTTCTTATCCTGCCTTTCCTATCTGACTTGTACCTCAGGATAACCAAATCACAGACAATGGGAAGTATATCTTTATAGCAGATTTTCAGTTCATAAATGAAGAAGAAAAGATATTGAATTCAAATATCATTCTTTTATACCTCTTAATGGAATAATGGATCTGGGCATTGACCATCAATGGCTGCTGACATTACAAAAAGAGAGACAACCAAACATCATGTTATCTCCTGATGGAAGTACACAGCACTATCATGAAGGAGTTTTCTTTTTTTTTTTACTCTTTCTTTCTTTTTCTTTTTTTCTTTTTTTTTTTTGTTGGTGCTGTGTGACTTGTGGGATCTTCATTCCCCAACCATGGATTGAACCCCGGCCACGGCAGTGAAAGCACCGAGTCCTAAGTACTGGACCGCCAGGGAATTCCCATGAAGGAGTTTTCTTTAAAAAAAGAAAAATCTGAATCTGATCAAGCTTTTACATCAAGCTACAATTTACAGGAAATACAAGGGATAGAGGTGCATGCTAATTAGTACCTTTTGGATACAATCAATGAGATCAAACTATGAGAAAATCTACGGGGCAAACAACCCAGTTTCCTTAAGAAAAAATCACAGGGGGTTGGGGGGTTGCAAAAAGAAATGGAAGGAGAAACCAAAGAGACTTGAGAATCCAAGCAATGAAGAATTGAAAAATAATACTTAGAAAACAATGCCAATAATGTGTCAATATTGGTTCATTAATTGTAACACTTTTACACTTAACACCGGCATGGGGTGCGCCATTCCCTCCTTCAAGAGATCTTTATGAAGCACTGATTATGTACCAGGCATTGTATTTGGTATTCATTCACAGAGGTGAACAGAGTAGACAAATTTCTTACTGTCATGGAACTTAGAACTAATAAAGGAGCCAGATAATAAATAAGTAAGGCAAGATGTAACCTCAATTTTGTTCTAAGTGCTAGGAAGGAAACAGATGTTGCAGTGCTAGTTAGGGAGTTGCCTACTGAGGTAGAGTAGTCAAGGAGGGCCTCCTGGAGGAGGTGATATTGAAGCAGAGACCTGAGGGGTGGGAAGGAGACTGCCAAGTGAGGAGCTTGGAAGGGATGGGCAGTGGGGGGCGGGGAGCAAAGCAAAGGAGCTGGCTAGGACGGGGGAGCAGAGGGTGCTTCGGAGAGAGGAAGTAGGACGTGTGAAGGCCCTGAGGGGGAGAAGACCCGGTGTCTTCCAGGACCTTAAGAGGTCGGTATAACTGAAGCCAGGCGGACAAGAGGGAAAGCAAGATGCGGGCCCTGAAGCTAGACAGGACCCAAATCATAGTTAGAAGTTTGGATTTTATTTTCAGTGTTAACAGGGAAAGGCCGCTAGAGAGTTGAAGCCTTGAGAGCCTGCGCCATAATTTTTCTCCTCAATCCCTTATAAACGTGTAGATTGTTTCCAGTTTTTCACTAATATAAACGACAGCAGAATGTGAGCTTTATGAGAAGAGGATCTTATCTGTTTTTTTCACCAGCTAACTCCCTTATGCCATGACAGAGCCTGGCACTCTATTTAGAATAGACTTTCAGTAAATATTGGTTGAATTCATGAATGCTGCAAAGAACACGTGCGCATCTCCATACCTTGTTCTCATTACTCGTTGAAATATCTTTCTAGATGCGAAATCGCCGGCCGAAAGAGTGTGTATATTTAAATGTTTGCCTTTTAAATAAGTTGCCTTCCCAAAAGCTTACATTAATTTACCCATTCCTAGGAGTCACTTTTAAATCTAAGATAAAACATTCTTTATTCTTAGAGTTTCTGTAATAAATAGGTTTGGGGATGCTAGGTGAAGCAATTCCCGGGATGTTTTGAGGTATTTACAATTCCCGGTCAGTTGTATTTTTCTTGGAGGCTGCTGGAACGTGGCCAGCGTTTCTCCCCACTTGGCTGTAGGGTGAGGCAGGCAGAGACTGTTTCTTTTGTTTATTTTGGTATCCCTCAACACCTTAACGCGGTGGGTGGCCCAGCCCAGCGCTCAGGGAATACTTTACCTGATTTTATTGCGACCCACCACTGGAGGCTTCCAGTGTTGGTGGGTGAGCCAGCAGTTCACGAGGCAGGGAGTATCCTAAAAATGGGGATCTGTTTAAATTGTCAGTGTGTCATGAGAACCAAGTACAGTGCAGGGCCAAAGGGCACAGGCTCTGGAGGAAGTTTGATTCCCAGCCCTACCACTCACTGTCCTGGGTAGGGCATGCCTCCATCTTCTCATATATCAAAGGAGGATCATAATAGAATCTTCCTTACAGGGCAGTGAGATTTAAATGAGTCCATACACGAAAAGTGCCTGGAATTATACCGGAATCCTCACACTCAGTAAATGTTAAGTATTGTTACGTTGCTCCTTCCGATAAGCATTAAGTATGTCGTTCTCTCTGTTACTCTCTAACAGCTGGAAGAGAAACTCAAGGAGAAGGTCGACATAAGCCTGACTGAACGAATCAATCTGACTGGAGAAATGGACACATTCAGCACGTATGTACTCGCGCGCCTGCCCGAGGCCCGCCTTTCCCCCTGCACGGAGCAGCGTGTCTCAGGCCGTCAGCGTAGGTTACTACAGAACCTGAGAAGTTTCCAGGGCCTTCTGTTGGATCAGGATTATTTTCTCCACCAGCCACCAAGGGGCCTTAGAAGTTGGTGCAGCGGCCCCCCCATCCCGCCTCCTCAAATACAATCATTTTTAGCTTATGGGGGCTTTATTGTTGCACTATCTAGAATAACAAGAGAAAAGAAATCCCCCCTTGGCCATCCCTGCAGGAAGGTCAGGTCCAGGGCCTCCTATCTGACCCGCTAAATCTACAGAGGGCCAGCCCCACCTCCAGTGTTTCAAGGGTATAAAGGGTGAGCAGCCTGATTTTAGCCACTGGGGGGTGGGGGAGGGCAAGTGTATTTGGGGTGGAAGAGTGTCTGTCCAAGGAGTTCAGCCTGTAAAGCCTTCTTGAAACAGTTATTGCCCTGGTGCTACCTGGCAGGATTTTGTCCTGGTCGTTAAATGAGATTTGGGAAAGCCAAGCTTCTGCTTTCACATCAGCCACTTACTGAGGAAAAGTCCAAATTCTCTTCTTAGGTCATTTTCTCTCAACTTCCCCCCCGCCCCCGCAAGATCTGATTTAAACATTTTGGGCAAACGGGTCCTTTTGGAGGAGGTAGCAAAGAGGAATTCTGGGTGTAGCAACTGGGGAGACGAGCCGTGGAATCTGGTGTCCTGACTGAGTAGGAACACATCCGAGTGAGACCAGGACACACAGCAAGAAGGAGGGCGGAGCCAAAACACTCCTCCTTGTCATTCATTCCTTTCTGAAATGAAACTCAAGTTTTTCTGAGGAAATGGTGCATCTGAGTTTTACACAGGTGCCTAAAACATTTGGAAGGAGCTGTGTCGGTCAGTCATTCGTTCACAGTTCACTTTTGTAAGCTGTGCCCACAGTAGTGTGTTTGATTTGCAGTGTCATCTCCAGCAGCATTCAGCTGTTGGTTCAGGATCTCGATGCTGCCTGTGACCCCGCCCTGACAGCCATGAGCAAGGTAAGCTTTTAGGAAGTGCTTCTTCCTGAACGTCCAAGAGTGACCCCAGGTGGTTTCTCCCTGCCCTGCCTGTAGCTCCTGCAGGCTTTTCAGTGCTTAAAGCACCGGTTGGGAGGAGAACGGAGCCCTCCAGGAGTTTGCTAAAGCACTCAGTTGATCTTGCACCCGAAGTCAATTGCCTGTCCTTTGAGAATGAGACGGGGAGCCGGTGTGTTTCCTAAGTTGGAAGGAGAGGTTGCTTTTTTTTTTTTAATCGTTTTTATTTATTTATTTATTTTTGGCTGCGTTGGGCCTTCGTTGCTGTGCGCAGGCTTTCTCTAGTTGCGGCGAACGGGGGCTACTCTTCGTTGCAGTGCACAGGCTTCTCACTGCAGTGGCTTCTCTTGTTGCGGAGCATGGGCTCTAGGCGCACGGGCTTCAGTAGTTGTGGCACGAGGGCTCAGTAGTTGTGGCTCGGGGCTCAGTAGTTGTGGCTCACGGGCTCTAGATCACAGGCTCAGTAGTTGTGGCTCACGGGCTCTAGATCACAGGCACAGTAGTTGTAGCTCACGGGCTTAGTTGTTCCACAGCATGTGGAGTCTTCCTGGACCAGGGCTCGAACGTGTGTCCCCTGCATTGGCAGGCGGATTCTTAACCACTGCTCCACCAGAGAAGTCCGTGAGGTTGCCTTTGATCAGCATCTGACACGTGCCGAAAACCCTTCGTGTGGCAGCAGTCACTTCAGACTCATTTTCATTCCTGCCCACTGAGAAGTTTTTCCGACTCTCTCTGCGCTGTCGTGCAGGTGCAGGATCATTTGATCAGGTTGCGGACCCTGGTTTTCTAATATCGTGGTGGCCCGTCAGTCAGCCCTCAGTCCGCAGTCCCCTCCTTTGGCGCTTATCACGTGCAGCTTCATGTTGCTCTTTGGCTTTTACGTGCCTGTGTCTTTTCTTCCTAAAAGAAAATCAATTCCTTAAGTTCATGGACCACATAGAATAGAGAAGATTCATACTTGTTGATTAATTAAGTTGGAAATAGGCAATTCTTCATTGATTTCTAAGCCAAATAACACGAAGTTGCCCACTCTTTGAACCTTCTAGAGCAGAGGTCGGCAGACTACAGCCAGTGAGCCAAATCTGGTCTGCTGCCAGATAAAGTTTTATTGGAACACAGCCACGCTCATTCATTTATATATTATCTATGGCTGCTTTTGTGCTACAACGGCAGAATTAAGTAGTTGCAACTGAGACTAGATGACTCGCAAAGCCTAAGATATAAACAGTCTGGCCCTGTACAGAAAAAGTTTGCCAGTGCCTATGCTAGAATCGTAGACTCTTGGAACATTCTCACAAATTCTAGAGAAAGAACTTCTCTGGGGCACACTGACCAGTAGCAGAGTAGAACGCTGGCTTCGGAATCGGACAGCCTTAACTCTCCTCATTTCTCCTTTGGGCGTGTTAAGCAAGTAACAACCTCTCTGGGCCCAAGTTACCTCATCAGTATGTGAACTGCCAGCGTCTGCCTTCTGAGGAGAGTGAGTGGTCTGGTGCCAATAAACGTTAGTCCTCTTTCCCTCTTGTCAGGAGTGGCCGTGTCACAAGGTTGTGTAAACACACGTTTGCTGTGAATTTGGCTTTGTAGTAGATTGTAAATATTTAACAAAAATAGGGCTAAGACCAAAACTTAAGCTTTGGAGTTTTATGGCGCTCAGTGGGGAGTCCTGAGCAGCTGATGTCACAGAGTTTCCGTTCAAAAGGCCCTTCCTTTCACCAGTCAGATATGGATGTGTATTTCCAGCATCCAAGTGTTTACAAGCAGAATACTCCAAGCAGGCAAAGGGAGGCTCACTCATTTTCTGAAAGGAACGTGACTCTGAAGATTGGTTTTGTGGGTTCTGATTATCCCCTCGCTGCTGGGGAACACTCCCTACATCCTGAACATGATCTGTTCCGGCTGCCATCTCTCCTGCACTGCCACACACTTTCGATTGGAATGCAGCTGGCGAAAGAATTTTTACATTTACCAAAGGAAGAGTGGATTTTTTTTTTTCAGTAAAATAACAGTTGTAGGGGGTTTAACACTCCAGGTGTTGCTTATATGAACTGTCAGTTCATTAGGTGGATTTCCCTCAAACTGCCCCCACCACCCATCTCTCCACCAGACCCACACCAGCAAACACTAACAGAGACCATACCTCCAGAATCTTTTGTTTACATCATAGGAAAACCACAGATGTGGGAAGGCAGCAGCTGGGAGGCCGTTACTCTTTGCCTGAGTCTTCCGGAGTTCTAGCAAAATGAAATCCATGTGATGAAAATGACCAGATATAAACAAGCCAAGTGGTCACAAACCGATTAAACAAATACCCTCTGTTATTTGTGCCTGCCTTCTGTTCTGTGTAGTTTCTTCTAGGATTTTTTAAAACTTTTGTTTTGTGATAATGCTTATTCCTGTCTGTGATTCCATCATTTTTGCTGCTAGTTGAACGGTTCATTTCAGACTCTACCCAGCACGGTGCTGGGAGTCCCAAGGCTGGGAAAGATGTGGACCTTATTCCAAGGTGCTTAGATTCCAGAAAGTGTGGGGTAAGAGATGTGTGAGATGAGGGGGGTTAAGGTATGAGGAAATCAGTACCAGAAGTACAGAATACACCCTTCTCAAAGGAGGAGAGTTCAGGACTTCCCTGGCAGTCCAGTGGTTAGGACTCCGAGCTTCCACTGCAGGGTTCGATCCCTGGTTGGGCAACTAAGATCCCACATGTTGCGCTCGCACGCCCGTGCAGCGTGGCCAAAACAAAGCGAAACAAACAGACGAGAAAAGAGGAGAGTTCACATCCAGGTGGGGAAGCAAAGAAAGCCTTCTTAAGGAAGTAGCATTTGAAACAGACCACCAAGGATGGCAAAGTTTTGAACAGATTTGTGATTAGGAGGGCATTCTGAGCTGAGTGACAACATGAACACAGGTTTATAAAGTTAGGAAAGCTCAGAACTTTGTCAGCATTGCCAGTCTCCTTACACATCTTTGGAATTCCACAGAGCACTCTGGGTGTGCTTGTACCTACATAGTCAAGGCTGGAAACAGGGCTGCCCTTGAGGAGCTTATATTCTGGTGAGGCAAAAACTTAGAATAATTGATGCTGTAAATAACTGTATTTTATAAATGGTGAGAAAATGAGCATTGGGCTCACCAAAGTGGAGCGGTCTCGTCAGATGATTCTGAGTTGAGGGAAGGAGGCTTCTTTGGCAAGATGGATTGAGCCAAGAAACTGAGTTACGTCATCCTCCTGCGAGGAGACCTCCTCCTCATTGAAGGCACCCCATGATCTCCTTGGTTTAGCATAGTGGACTTTTATGATTTGTCCCTTCACTACCTTGTTGGTTCTGCCACTCCTGTGTATATAACTGTACTCCAGCCTCCGAGCCACTTTTCTTTCTCTGAATGCATTACTTTTTTTGTGGCTTCCACACCTTTTCTCATTCTGTTCTTTCTGCCTAGAATTCTCTTTCTACCCTTGTCTGCCCAATTAGCTCACCCTTTAAAATCCAGTTCAAATGTCTGCCTACTTTTAGAGAATTGAGGTATAATTCACATACAATAAAATTCATCCTTTTAAAATGTATAATTCGGTGGAACCACTACCACCGTCTGATTCCAGGACATCTTCATCACACGAAAAAGAAACCCCATACTCATTAGCAGTCACTCCCCATTTCCCTGACAGTCACTAAGCTACTTTCTGTCTCTAGGGATTTGCCTATTATGGACATTTCACATAAATAGAATCAAACAGTATGTGGCCTTTTGTGACTGGATTTCTTCACTTAGCCTAATGTTTTCAATGTTCATCTATGGGGTAGCATGTATCAGTACTTCACTCCTTTCTATGGCTGAATAGTACTCCCTTGTATATGGTTAAACCACATTTGGTTTATTCACTGATCAGTCAGTGGACATTTGGATTGAGTCCACTTTTTAACTCTTACGAGTAATGCTATGAATATTCATGTACATGTTTCTGTGTGAGTATGTTTTCAATTCTCTTGTATACATACCTAGGAGCAGAACTGCTGGGTCATTGGGTAGCTCTACGTGTCACGTTTGAGGAGCTGCCAAACTGTTTTCCACAGCAGCTGCACCATTTTACATTCCTACCAGCAATGAGTGAAGGTTCTCATTTTTCTATATCGACACTCATCAACGCTTTAAAAAAAAATTATAGCCATTCTAGTGGGTGTGAAGTGGTATCTCACTGTGGTTTCAACTTGTATTTGCATTTCCCTGATGACTAACACGTTGAGCAGCTTCTCATGTGCTTATTGGACATCTGTATATCTTCTTTGAAAAGACGTCAGCTCAACTCCTTTGCCCATTTTAAAATTGGATTGTCTTTCTGTTGTTGTCTTTTTACTTTCTTGATCATGTGCATTGAAGCACTAAAGTTTTAAATTTTGATGAAGTCCAATTTTTGTATTTTTTCTTTTGGTGCTTGTGCTTTTGGTGTTACACCTATGATACCATTACCTAATCCAAAATTATGAAGATTTACACCTATATTTTCTTCTAAGTATTTTATAGTTTTAGCTCTTACATTTAGGCCTTCAATCCATTTTGAGTTAATTTTTGTATATGGTGTGAAGTAAGGATTCAGTTTCATTCCTTTGCATGTAGATGTCCAACTGTCCCGGTACCATTTGTTGAAAAGACTATTTATTCTTTACCCATTGGGTGGTCTTGAGACTCTTGTCAAAAATCAGTTGACCATAAGTACATGGGTTTATTTCTGGACTCTCAGTTCTATTCCATTGATCTATATGTCTTTCCTCATGCCAGCACCACACTGTTCTGATTATTATAGATTTGTAGTAAGCTTTAAAATCAGGAAGTATGCGTCTTCCAATTTTGTTCTTTTTCAAGATTGTTTTGGCTATTTTGAGTCTTTTCCAATGTCACCATTTTTTGTCTCATCCAGAGTGTTTTCCTCCCTCAAGACACCACGGCACCTATACTAACTCTCTACT